CCACAAACCCTCACAAAGCAAGTTTGTGCAGGAGGATCCCTGTTGAGATCCCTTCGTCTCATGGCAGTTAATCAGGATGTTGAAATTCTGAGGGGTTTTTCCCAAACCTCCTCCCCCCGCAATGTCCAGACGCGACTTTTCCAGCAGAAGGAGGTATCTGCACATTGACACACCGACACAACATGAATACATTTTTGGATCCAGACAGGTGATGTTTAACAGGTATTAACTCTCTCCACTAGTGGGAAATTTAATGCCTTTACCAGCATCTTTCCGAGACTATCTTGTCGGTGTCGGCTGCCCCATACTACTGCTGTCCCAACCCTGGGACGGGTGACGCTGGCACAAGGGACTGAGTCCTCTTGTGTGAAACTCTGTACCTGGTCAGCCCTCTCAAAGTGAAAGGAGATGCTGGATGTGATGATCTAGCCACCGTTAGTTCATGGAGAGACAGAAGGGGATTAGATATTAGGAAGAAGTTTTTCACTGTGAGGGTGGTCAGACACTGGAACAGGTTGCCCAAGGAAGTTGTGGATGCCCCCTCCCTGGAAGTGTTTAAGGCCAGGCTGGATGAGGCTTTGAGCAGCCTGGTCTAGTGGAAGGTGTCCCTGCTCATGGCAGGGGGGTTGGAACTAGATGATCTTTAAGGTCCCTTCCAATCCTAACCATTCTACGGTTCTATGATTCTACTCTCATCTGCAGTCTTTCTCCCTGCTTTGCAACAGCACAATGAACATTTTATTTTCTATAGAAAATGGTAGCATAGAAACTAAAGATCAATAATTTTAACTGTGTTCAATTTTGCATGCTCCATCATTTTTCTTTAATGATTTTATTCTAAAAAGAGGCAGAAATGTAATTGATTTTGACTGAAATTGTGCCCATACTTTGGATATTAATTCTGAGGGAATGCAAGCAATGAAATTAAGTGACATACAATTACGTTTGATGGTTTTTGGATTAATCAGAGTGGTTTATCCCATGAACTTGTTGTAGGGAGAAAAGTGCACAAACTACTTAAATAACTGGTTATGTTGATGGTAGGCCTAAATCATCTATGATGTTTCTTTCGTTCACTATTTTGAGTGAATCTGGGTATGAGTTAATATCCAAGCATGCAAAAGGACAGCTCTTTGAGAATACACCTGGCCAAAACAGGTGCTCTTGTCCATTTTTTAAATGCTTGGGCTTCTGTGGTCACAGAGATTGGGTACCATCCAAGTGAGAAATGTTCCTGTCCTGTAGCATCTCAGGTTATCTGTCACTCTGCACTGGCTCTTGGACAGACACAAAATCCCTGATGGAGATGCTGGCCCCAAGGAAGTTGATGGGATTTCTGCCATTGTCCTCAGCAGCATCACAGTTTCACTCTCCACGCACACCCTTTGCTGAGGGAAATTATTCTATGTAGGAACTGATGCCAGTAAAACTAGTGTGTTAGTTCACTTCATCACACTGCTGATTTTTTTTTATGCAGACAAGCATTCTGCATTATAGAAAGGATTTGTAATGTGCAGCTATAGCTCTGGCTGCTTTGCATAGGCTGGTGCATCTGCTGCAATCCAAGACCAGGTTCCTCTTGGGGGGAAACCCTGGGTTGCCACTGGCCACTTGTCAGGGTGCAAAGCCATAATTTTGGACAGCTGTCTCAACAGCTTCTCTTAACTGTTACCAGAATGAAGTTGATAGTGTGGAAAAGTGAGGGGAGTGCTACAATTCATACATACAAGCTTTATTAGTCAGAGTTGTTGACAGCAAAGGTAGATTTAAATATAGAGTACTTTACATAAAAATAAATGCAGCAAAACAGAACAAAAATTTGAGGATCTGTACATTTTGAGAAGATTAATGGGTGTGCAACTGAACTTTACAAAGAAACAGATCAGGTAAGCATAGCTATGTTCACATCAGGAACTCCTCTGAAAAGCAAACAAATAAGTAAAATCATATTGAAGTGCTTAGTCCCGAAATCCTTATTCATCCTTTCTCCACGTGTCCTCAGAACAGGTAGTCCTGACAGCAGTGAGAGAGGCAAACGCCCTGGTACTCTGAAAACTAAGTTTCCTCTCTGGAATTAAACCATAGGTTCAGACACTCAGATTTTTAAGCTGCAAGTCCCGGAGAACCCACTCAGAGCCTTGGTCATTGGTTTGTTTTGAGGTTTTTGGCTAACTGAGATAATACATTGTGGCTCATCTGTTCAGATCCTCATGTCAGGAAAAAGGCTTTGTGAACGTGCAGCAGCTTGTCAATCTTTGCATCACACTGAATCTTTCCCAAGAAAAATCTCTTGTTTAGAAAGAGTGAATAAGAACCATATCACTCATGGTACATCTCAAGCCCATGGAAATAATTTCCTTGATTTCAGTAAACTTTGGCTCTGGCCCATACTGTGGGGTCTGAAGGGACATGGAGTGTGTTGCACGGGAAAAAATATTCCCCAATTGCTTTTGCTAATTTGGGATTTACCTTTCCCTCGCTTCAGGCCTGCTCTGTAGCTGTTGTTGAAACCAAAGGTGCAATTCTCAGTGACTTCCATGGGAGCAGGAGGAGGGATTTCCCATGGGAAAGGATTCCATGTATAATGTGTAGCTTTATACTAGACTTTTCTCCCGATGCCTTTTCCAACTCTCTGCTGGAATACTCACTAGGTAGCATGTGCACACTTCCACAGCGAATTTCTCGACCACACAGTAAAACTTCAGAAATCACTTAACCTCCAGATTTGTCACACATAGTATGTGCTCTCCCAACTCCTTCATTTGCTGATCACATCTTACATCAGAGCAAACACTCTGTAAAGGGGAGCAGTGAAGAAAGCCAAAAGCTCTGTGTGTGTGCGTGCGCGTGCATGCACAGGGGTGAGTGGGTGCTGGTACCCCCCGGCACATACCCGGTGGGCTGTGTGCTGCCCATCTCGCAGCACTAGCACCCCAACACACACGTCGTCAGCTCGGGCCACCCGGCGGGAAGACGAGCGGGGCTTGCCCACTGTGTGGAATGTGCCCTCTGGGGTCACCAGCCCTTCTCCTCTGGGACTGCCAGGATGGGTGGAGGCATCTCCCTGGCACTGCTGGGAAGGCAGGATGGCAGGCTGGATTTACATACATACAAGCTGCGACATGCAACCAAAGATAAAGAGGAGCCCATGGGTAGGAGGGGAGCCAGTGCCTGCCCACAGCTCCAGCCATGCTGGGGGCTTCCCCTCTTCTCTGAAGCAGAAAAATAGGGCTGTTTCTGAGGGCAATGTGAGCATTAGCTGGCCCCAGTGCCTGTGCCAGGAGAACAGATATGTAGCCTGAACTGGTATTAATGGCTTTTAAAATGTCCATGTGTTATGGGAACTTTAAAGAAACGGAGTTACAGCTAGTGCAATGAAACACACTCTTTTCCCACATATTTAGCTGTCGCTGAATGACATTTGATGTGAAGGGTGGGAATAGAAGGAAGACAATAATGTTTCACAACCGCAGAATCCAATTTTAAGGAAGGGAATAACACTTGTGACTAGCTATATATTCACTGGTCTATATGATTTAGTGGTACACTCCGTCCCTCTTTGGACCACAGCACTGTGATTAGAGGAGCAAAAATAGCAAATGCACAGAACTGACAATGATTGATGTAACATGATCAATAAAGAGAAATTCAGCTGTCTAAGACTTAAACTACTATGTCAAACCAGTGAAGTGCTATGTTTAAGATCTCAAAGGTATTTCTTTTGCTCTAATGAGTTAGAGGTCTGATTTCTCTATGCCTGCTTTAGTCACACCACACGTATCCCCACTGATTTGTGCAGCAGTACACCTGAAGGTACATATCATCCCTACCTCTTTATTGAAAATCAAGCCATGTGCTCTTAAAGCTCCCATGCCTGAGGCAGAGGGGAGCACCCAGGCTCACCCCAATGAGCCAGGCTGCGAGAAGGACGGTCACTCTTCTGCTGCTTGCCTGTCCTGCCAAGTCCTTGCGGCTCCCACATCCCTGGTGCCATTGCTGGGGCAATGGCTCCCAGCCCAGTGCCAGCAGGACAGTGGGGCTGGCAGCCAGGGGCACGGTGGAATAAGCAAGCCGGCAGAAAGCTGTTGGCTGGGGACCAATTTCCAGCACACTGCAGCTGCAGCTGGAGAAGCTGGGGCCACCCAGCACAGGCAGCAGGCCCATCCAGGCTGGAACAGGAGGGCTTTGCCATGGGACTGTCACTGGGTAACCGGGAGAGGAGAGGCTTTAGGGCAGCCCAGGGTCAGCCTGCCTCTCCATAGGGTGTTTGCCAGTTGTCTCCCAGTTTTGAAACTTGTGCAGGGGAGAACACAGAGCCTATGTGTGCTTCTGGTGGTGGGTAAGGCTCCTGGATTTGGAGTGACCTGCATTGTAACCACCAGCAGAATGATCCCCGAGCACTTTGTCCTGACTCAGGTTTATAACTGCTAGGGCTGGGCCCCAGCAAGCCACAGGCTGCTTTCCAAATAGTGTTTCTTCTCTGGGAAGGACAGCCCATCTGCCTTGCCACTGACTTTCCCTCTGAGGTCCACCAAAGAGCATTTCCAGGGCTCCCTCACAGGAACGTTTCACATCCAGGAAAACTGCTGCACATGAGGAGTGTTCCGGGTCAGGGAGAGGCAGAGCCAGTGTGTCTGGAGAGGAACTGGGGATTGTGTCTGGGAGGGGAAACCCCAGCTGAGGGCAGGGAGGAGAGCAATCATAGCAAAGGGAGTATTATTAGAGAAAAAGACCATGCCAAACCTGGCAGTTTGAGGCCATGAGAGACCAGCCTGCTGGTCTGCAGAGCTCTATACTGGCCATAGGTATCTCCTTGCAGAATGTAGATATCAACCTACTTGAAGTGGCCTAAAGAGAAATTCTGCCTTGATAGGAAAATACTCTCAGGTTACTCTTGATTAGCTTACAGACAGCTACAAACACAGGCTGCACAGCTTATCACATGATTTTTCTCACTGTGACACTCAGTGGGAAGCACCAACAGGTTGTCTTTGCCCGCTCTAGGAGTCTGTGCGGTAGCTCCGATGGCTGTCCCCTATTAGCTGTGTCTTCTCGGTTGCATTAGTTGGCTGAAGCATGATAGGAGTTTCTCCATCTAAATGGGAGAGGAAGAGAAAAAAATACTTTAAGAATTCTTTGCTTGCTACCAAAGTCAGATTTTGTGTTAGCCCACAACATTTCATCTGCTGTTCTGGCTACAGCTTAATCTTGGCTTCACAGGCAGCTCTGAAGAGGCAGCAATGCCCACACCGAGTCTAACAATGCTCTTACTCCTTGTCCACATGTAATGGCACATTTCTGGGTGACTATTGCTGTTGTTATTAAACAGGACATTAGCTGTACCTGGGGCTTTGCAGAGATTGCAAGATAAGGGTGGTTACCTGTTCCAATTGCAAGTGCTTGTTCCTGCAAATGTCTGAATATAACAAGCACTGTTGTGAGTCAGCAAGCACTAATCTTGACAGCATTTGCAAGAACAGGCCAGAAATGGGTCTTGAAGAAGGCAAAGTTAACAGTAAAGAAAGAAGAGTTAAAAGGAAAAAAATGCATGAGCAGTCATTTACATGAGAGGGAAGAAATCATCTATATCCTGAAAGCCAGCTGGTTAAATAAAAATGTTAAATTACATTTTGAAGTTTTTATGTAATATATATAAATTAGGATTTTGAGAATTACTGTTTTAATGAGTTTGGAACTGCCAAACTCTCATATTATCATTGTATAAATCCTTACTGATTTGTACTTTCTCATTCCATGCAGGTATGTGTTTGGTTTCCCCGTATAGCTGTAAAAAAAGCATTTGTTGTAGAGTGAGGAAGGTGAAATCCTTATAGAGTTCCCTGATGGCTGTTGTGTTCTCTCTGAAAATGAACAAGGTTTGGCTGCCCTTCTCCTGGGCCTCTTTCCAACCCAACAGTTTTGAGGGAGGAGGAGGGGACTCAAGACTCAGAGACTGACTTTTAAAGGTTCATCCATCTCAGTGAACTGTTTTCATATGAAAAATTTTGGACTACCTGTGTCTTGATACTAGCATAGCCTTCACAGTAATTGAGTACAAATGATGACTTTTTTTGCCAAATGACTGAATGTTCAGAAAAAACTCATCTGACATTTCCTCCTGTTTACATGACAGTTGATGGGATGAATCATGGGCAAAAGATGTAATGTACAGGAGTAACTTAACCCAGAGCAGGAATCTAACTGCATGCCATACGGCTTCCCCTCAGTGCGGGTAGAACAACTTTGACTCTGTCAAGGTGAAAGGCAAGAATGATTAAATGCCAAGCAGCTTCTCTGTATGGGCAATTCTGTATTTAGACACAAGGTCAAAGACAGACGTGTTTCATAACTTCTACAGATATATGAGTAATTAATGCTTAGAGCTCAGCTCAGGCATATATTAGTTTGGTAGTTCAAATCCATTTTTAAGTTGTGATGTATTTTCTAGAATTCTGAGCAGCACTTCCTCCCACCCTCTGCTGCCTCCAAGTTGCTCATTTTAAGGAAGATCATTGATGGAGGGCAGAGGCTAGCACTTCATTTTTCTGTGATACCCAGATGTGCAACAAGAGACTAGGACCCACTGCAAAACTATTGCATTGCTTACAGCTGATGTGGAGACAGTTCTGAGCTGACACCTTCCCCAAGTATTTTGCTACCCACACCCTTCTAAGATTTATTATACTTTTTATCAGAACAGGGATCTATGGTATAATAAACTGTACAAATATAGCCTGCTAATGGAGAGCTGCAGAATGGAGGTGCACAGAATTCACAGTTTAAACTGCTTTCTATAGATAGCTCTTGCTCACTGTTCGCCTACATTGGTATCATATGGAGTGTGGAGGAGACAATGAAGTGCTAAAAATTTATTGCTTCTGAGTTGGGAAAGTATTTTGTTATTCAGGTTCTTTTTTTTCTTTTTCTCTCTTTTTTTTTTTCCCCTCTCCCAGATTTCCTTTTCTGTAGAATGAAAGTTGGTCTAGAAATGTCTGCCTTTGTTCTTCTGATGATAACCAAAGCGGAGAGGAGAAAAAATCTGCCCAAATGCTTGAGTGCATCATTACACCCTGAGTACCAAGGCAATCCAAATTCCAACTGCACCTCCTCTGGGACCACAAAAGCCAACAAAAGGTTTGCTGTCCACTTCACTGGAAGCAAAATTTGGCAACCTGCCCTGTGTGTGCAAGGGGAAGTGATGAACCGTTTCACACATCCATGCTGCAAACGAGTGAGTGATGCTTCCCTCTGCCAGTGTGCTTTTGCAGGTCGTCCATAACATCAGGTTACCATAGATTACCCTACTTTACACTTTTAAAATGTCATGTTTGATCTGATACCCTAAAAAAAGTCATGTTTAAAATGTTATAATCAAAATGTAGGACTTATTTTGGAAAGTGATCATCCATTGTACATTAGGCCATAGTCCTCTGTGGTACTAACCAATAGGCATGAGAAGAAATCACTGTAACCTAAGGCTTGCAAATCCCTAAGTTCCTTTAGTTCTGAAGGTCATGCTAGCCATGGAAACACATGCAGTAAAACAAATCTCTCATGGGAGATATCCAACTAGCTGAGCACTAGAGCTAGTCAAATATATTTGAATAAAACTTTCTTCTAGAGGATTATGCCATTTTATCAGAATTGAAGCCTTTGACATAATTGTGTTGATTTCAGTGACAACTCACTTTGCTTTTATGCTTTAGGGAATGGATCCCTGAATTTTTGGCCTCACGTCTCTTTTTTTCACTAATAATTATGTTTTATGGTAATTTAATTTGATGAATGAAATCAATTGTGTAACACCTTAGATTTTTTAAGGAGAAATGTGAGTGACTCTGAAAATTATTACTGCTGTGCCAGCTCAAAAGATGAAGTCTAAATCTCGACTCCCACATCATGCATGTTGCCTCTTCTGTGCAGTATGGCCAGATCCAAGAAGCTCTCACTGAGCGCAGCAACAACTGGGGGAAAGTCACTCTCAGAGTTTTTTAGCATCAGTAATGCTGATGTTTTATTGAAGCTGCATTCCTCAGAAAAGCAATGACTGACTACAAAATACATGGATAAATTAAAGTATGGCCTTAGCTTTAGAATCTACATTTTGACCTTAGCAAAAAAGTTCTGGCTAGCAATACTATAGATACTGGGACAGCAGGAAGCAAAGAAACTAATTACCAGGTAGAATGCTCAGTCTGTGGGCAGAGGGCATGCAAAGAATTTGGATCTTAATAGAATTTCCTCTCCCAAAATGAAATCTGCTGCAGGAGTGATTACAGTTTGTTTCTGAATTACCTACAGGAGCATTTCCATTATTTACGTAAAGGAAGCCATGAGTATCATTTCTGTGGCCCAACATTTGAAAATGTCTGGTGGGAAAGCCCAATCTTTGCCATTCTAAGTCAGCTACATCTTTTTGGCTAACATCCCTGAAATGGTGGAGGAGGGAGGGAGGGAAGTGCAGTTTGAGCTGGTTATCATTAACTTTCCTACATGCAGTGTCTGTTTTCATTTCAGCTGCAAAAAAGATGCTCACAATGTCTTCTGCCATGAAGTTTTTACTTTTAGTCCTGATGTGTTGCTCTCTTTCAATCTAATTTTAAAATAGAAAGGATTCTACTCTACTGAGAGGCTGGTTTTGATTGGTAGGAAAATGTAGCAAGACTGAAGAGAAGGGTAGGAAAGGTAGAAATATCTAGTTTTCTCCAGACCCTACCTATATACTTAAAGTTTTATTCAAAATACTTGAAATATGCAATTCCACATTCTGTTAATTTTTCAGACTGGTAACTTCCTAAACAGTCTCAGTGAGATTTGGTGGGAGTAAAGGATGGGAAAGCAGCTGAAAATTACTGGATATGAATAAATGCCACCTGTGCCAGAAGGAGGGAGAATTTTTTTTCTACTGCTGGGAAATTTTGTGCTGGATTTTGAGAGAGAGTAAAATACCTACCAAATTACAAAAAAAGGGCAGAATTAAAAAATATTTATCCTTCAAAGTTCCATCTTTATATTTTAAACTTGACTTTGTTGTCATCAACCCATAAATATCAAGACTCATTTTAGATTTGCACTTTTCAGGTGCTTAACATCATAAACCATATTACATTTTTTCAAATAATACATCGTGGTTATAAAGCTTTCACTATTATTTTTTGTTACCTTTGCAGAGACAGATCAAGTATGATAAATTTTTAAGCTGACTGTATTTACCTTGATATGCCTCTAGGCAAAACCAATTTAAAAACACCACCACACGTTGGCATATCAGTTATATAAATAGCATTTGTTTCAACTGCTACAAATGTTTTGTTACATATTTATGGAAGGGTAAATTTGTGTGAAAAGTTGGGGGGGGGGGGAAATTCTTCCTGCTAAGGGAAGATGACATTTGCAATCTGGCAGTGCTAATTTAAGCATAATAAATGTAAGAATATAACAGTGTAAGACCTGCCACAACAATGGAAGAGAAAAAGTGTGAGCTGACTGCTTAGGTCCTTCTTCATAAAAACGCATAACCCTAATCATAGTTTATATAAATTTGCAATTGAAAAGTGGCCTAGGTCTTCCCCTCATACCTTTGCCTCCTATTGCTGGAGCAAGGATCATTGCCTCTCTCAGCCTGTCTTGCAAGTGTCCAAATCTAACTGGTTTGAGTTGTTTCTGCTTCCCTTGAAGATGAAGGCAAAACTCTGACCCAATTCAGCACATTAGGACGGGGCTCTTTGTTCGAAATGTGTAACTCACGCTAGTGCCAAATTAGGAAATCACCACTATCATCCTTTGATATAGCCAAAACCTGAGTGTGCAGCCAAGGGATGCAGCAAAGCTGAGAAAAGAGGGTGGTGTTCTGCTCCCCATCTGTGTTCCTGGCTGGGCGTTCTTGCTCCCTTCTTTGAGCTGGCATTAGCACTTGACCTGCCCCCACAGTGAAGCATGGTGGGAAGTTAAACGGGCAGGGAACTACACACAGTTTTGAGATGATTACTTTTCACCTGAATCATGTCCAAGATCTGGCTCCTGGTAAGGCAGTACAATTGCTACTGCCAGTGCAGAAGACAGTGAGCAACCTGGGGGCTGGATGGGAGAGGGACAGGATGATGGGAGAGGGGCAGGGCTATGGAAGCTCTCGTGCAAACTCTCTTAGGTTACTGCGCAACGTTACTGTTGGAGACATTGCTTCTTTTCTTGAAGCCTTTTCTTGAATGGGTACAGTTGGCCCATCACAGTCACTGATAAATTTTACATGAATAAAAACCGAATGACAGCTTATTCAGACAGATCAGATGTGGCAAGCACCAGTCCAAGCAGAGTACAGGATAAGTATAAGTACAGGATCTAGGATATGAAGCAATGTGGGCATGGGGGCTCAAGGGTGAACACCATCTCCTAAGGTGAGCCCTGAGACTTCTAATGTTTAAGTGTCTCATAAGAGATACAGGACACATTTAAGTTAGTGCCATAAGTTTAGTTTTTCATTAACACAAAACTTGGGAAGTTTGTCAGGTCATGGTGTTGGCTAGAGTGAATTGGCACATCTCCACTGATGTCTGGAAGCAGCCTCAGCATTGTGAGCAGAACATCTGGTCTACAGGCTTTAAAGATTGTTTTGAACAGCTTTGCCACACAGTAAGCCCCTATAATACACACCTCTTTCCATGTCGTTCTTAATTTGCTCTTCCAAATCTTCTGGAGACACACAAAACTCCTGCTCTTCCCCTTCGGGTGCTTTGGGTTTACACTTGCCACAGCAGCAGTTGAAGCAGCAGCACAGGCAGCAGCAGAGGTAGCAGCCTGTCAGCAGGCCACAGACTGCAAACAGGCCCTGGGTTAAACACAGTGGGAGGAAAACCCTGTGAGCAATGACCTTCCTCAAACTCGTGACAGCCTTTTACAGCTGAAGGCAGAACGTTAAAGGAACTCAGGTTCCCAAGTGCTTGGCACTCAGAGGAGTCCGGATGCAGGTCAAGTGCCTAAACAAGGGACGGATCTTCCAGAGCCCTACTCACCCATGAGCTCCTACTTGCCACTCAGGACCACGTCCACAAAGAAGACACTAACCAACAGACCCCTGCACACTCAACTTTTGAAAGTTTGTCTTCAGCTGATGGCCCTCAGAAAAAACTTCCAGGCAGTATGCAAAACCCCACCCACCTTAAAATGACTCATTTCCATCTTAAAAATGACTCATTTGCCCAAGATCGTTTTTGCAAACACTTATTTACTGGCAGGTTCTTGTCAATAACAAAGCCAAGAGAAAAAAAAATGAAGACCCAAATACATCCCACATAACTTTAGACACTGAACTAAGGCATCCAAATTAGGACTGTAGCCCCCGTGGGCTCCCCACATAGTCAATGGGAAGTTAAAAGCCCTTCCAGAGGGTGATTCAGCCCTGGGAGGATTTGAATTGCCCATCGGGGGTGTCTCTCTCCCCATTAGCCTGTGGAGGAGCACACAGGTGCCAACTCCTCAATTAGCCTCCTCAGGCTGTGGTTTCTTGATGTGGGGACTCAGGCAGCAAGAAGTTCCCACCTGCATCGCCCTCTGCTCAGTCCTGTCCAGGTGGCACAAAGCGCAGAGGCTTCGGCAGAGCCAGCACAGCTGCCTGGGGCCGCGACCAGAGATCTCAGCCAGAAAACTTTAATTGACAGGGGTTTTCTTCCTCCAGACCAGGTCACTGGCTGGGTTCACAGCGCTGTTCCACAGCTGCTTTCGTTGGGGGCTGTATGCCATGTTGCAGCAGTAGGACGGGGGTTGTAGAAGGGGAGCCCTTAGGGTGGCATTGCCACCCTGTGCTCCACGGGTGCATGACATGTATGTAAAATCAGCACAACTTTGTGGCCACCAGCTATATATAAGGTAACTTGAAAGTACAACCAGGCTTTAGCATTATAGTTATACAGCCTGCCCTTTACTAACTGTTTGTTATGTTCATAAGAAAACATGCACTGAGGAAGAGAGCAAGCACAAAGGGTCAGGATATTGTCAAACTTTGGCAACAAAGCTATGCAAATAACACTCATGTATGCATGTCTCAAGCAATGTTCGTGGGGGCTGACTGGAGAATAGTTGAAAGTCGTAAGACCACTTACATGTCTAATATTAATACAGGCGTGTATCAAGAGTGAACAAGATGGTTTTGAATTAAAAGAAGGACTCTGACTTTAGTTTTTAAAATGTTTTCCTTCCAATGGACACCCCAAACTGTTCTAAACACCATAAAAATGCTGTAACCCCTTATCTGACTGTATAATTTATGCCATAATGGAGAATAAACACCACAGTGGATAGAATGAAAAAAGACAGAATAAAACTGTATAGAGGGAAAAACTGCTTGGATTTATTCATGATACCTTAAATGTTTCAAGATTTCTTGTGCTTATATTATCATAGTTGGTAAATCAAGAATCAATTTATTAAAGTGATTAATAAACTGTCTTCATGGTAGAGGGAGAATTGCTTTTTGCTAAAAGAGTTACACCTATGCCTGCCAGTGGAGAAGCAGTTAAAGTTCCCATTACCCATGTCAGTATGTTCCCAGTTTAATATGCCTGCAAAGAAGTCAAGGACTCAGAAAAAAAGTAATTTTCACTTTGCGTTTCTCCTTTCATTTGGGTTTCCGTACTTCTAATGACCCACCTCCTCACAACTGTCAGATTTTCTGAGTATGAGTGTGATAGGAAAGAGGATTTACCAGGAATGTTCGTAGTTGAAGAGGAAGATAATGAGCGAAAGTTGTGGTCCCTACTGTCTTCTGCCAGAATGGAGGAAATTAGAGGTCCAGAGGTCATCTGAAGATAATGCCTCAGACTCAAATAGTATTATGATGGCCAATAGAAAAATCTGAAACTGACCCAGCATTTGTGCATGAGTTAAAAAGGGATGAGGAATTGTGAACTCAGCTTGCAAAAAACACTTGGTGGCTTGATTATGCTTTGGAGGTGGCAACATTTTGGATTGGGGGGAAGGATAGAGACACCACTTGTGACAATCATCAAATGAGACTACATGCATATTTTGGATTTTTTTCACAGAATTTTTAAAAAACAAGAAGCAGTGATTACTTTTGCTGGGATATTCAGCATATCTTGTCTCACCTCAGGGACACAACTTCTTTGAAACAATTCACACATTCCTCCTCTAGCTGTTAGGGACTTACTAGCTTCTCTCTGTGCTCTCCAGTGCTCTCCTTGTGAGTCAAAGCCACAGTCATTATTTCTGTTCCTGGTTTTCTAACCACAAAGAATTTTATACTTCATAAAACCTATGTTAAAGATAGATAAGCAGAAGAGGAAACAAAAGCCAAAAAAGCAGGCAACAATGAAGAAAACCTTGTTTAGCAAGACTCTTAAAGGAGTCGGTACTGCTGTGCTCTCAGCTTTAAGGCAATGCTTCCTGGCATCTGAACCATGACAAAGACACTGAAAGAGAGGGTGGACAGCAAAGAAAAGAGGGAATGATCCAGCAGGAGAAGACGGCGGCTGTGGTGGGGAGGCCAGCCTGC